AAAAATAATAATAATAATAAAAAAACAAAAATAATAATGATAATTAGAAAGCATTAATATTTGTTATAAGGATATAAAATATATTTTTTACCAATACCCATTAAATTTATATATATATTTTTTTTAACCATCTCAATCATAGTGTATTTTATCGTCTGCTTGCTAATTTCTTTAGTTTTCAAAGCAATTTCATGCAAATTTTATAAACAGCGACAACATAAGCTGAGAAAGCGTGGCGATATTTTAATAACACTTTCGTGCTGCTATTGTTGGTGATCTTGTTGTTGTAGTTGTTGTTGCTTTGTGGCAGTCATTGGTTGTTGTATTTGTTGTTAGTGTTGACAGCTCTTGATGGTCAATTAATATGTGTTTATCCCCAGCGAATTTCTCTCTCGTCAGCCAAGAAATGTGCTGACAACTACAGCAAATGACATTTGCTGAGATATCTATCGATAGCACAATTCGTAAGATCTTAGTGGATGCACTCCAAGGGTCTCTGAGAGAGCATTTGACCGTTGCTGGCCGTCGACACAAAGTTACATATACATAGAAATTTACAAATATACGTATATAGAAATGGAAATACTCCTAAAAGCAGCAAATATTTTTTATTTTTATTTTATTCTTGACAATTTTTTTAAATTTAATTTTTTTAATTTTTGTTTTTTAATATATTTTTTTTGTGTGTTCTTTGGCACTGTCTGCGGCTTTGTCTACACATTTGCACTTATTATGATTCGTTATATATGCGTAGAGGGTGGAGGGCCCGAGGGGCGTGGATGGATAGCTTTGGCACTGCTCACTGTCTTATATACTTATTTATAAGTATTTATTTTTATAGCCACAAAAATGTTGCCAGTATTTCTTAAACGCAATTAGAAGAAGGGGCTCCCAATGTCGTTGTTATACCCTGTACTTATCGAAAATGGGCAATGGAGGATATTAGTGCTTTGTGATCTTACTTGTAGGGGGCGTGAATGAGGGCAATGACTCTTGTTCTTAGCAACAGATTCAATTTAAACTATTCGACTGTGTATTTGTTAGTCTGTATAAGCACATGGGAGTATAAATAAGTAAGACGTAAATTAAAAATTGAGCAGTAAAGTAGTCTATAAGAGATTAAGTTTAATTTAAATCTTGGATATGAATTGCAGTTTCTAGGAAATAGGCAAAAATTTATAGCAAACTCAAAGTCAATGACAATCTCTTTGATAACTCCATTTCTTTACTGTAAACTATAAATAAAGTAATTTATACGGACGGAGCCTTCGGATTGGCCACGTAAATACATAAGTATCCCACATCAATGCATAGTAATTAATATAAGGTATCTTCTGGTTGTACCTTAGGCACTGACCACTCAGTGGCCGAGCGGTGCGCACTTGAAGACTCATCTTGAAGCCATCTGTATGTATGTGATTAATTTGAGCACGAGCTAAATTGATTAGAAAAATGTTTTGTTTGGTCGTCTGCCATTTCGCTGCTGTGGTCAGCAGATCGAGAGCAGTTCATATATGCAGCGGGTACACAATATGTGGGGCACTCTATTGCTAACCAATTTCGTTGCCTAATTTTGTGCAAAAAAAAAAAACATGTTGGGCTAAAATATTTGGCTGTCGCGCTGAGTCAAGTTGGTCGCATATCAAAGTTGACACTTGTACAATTCATTTCAGCACATGTTTTGCATTTCAATTTGAATTTGAAATTATATTTTTGTTTATTTTTGAAAGTATACATTGTACACACAGCGCGTATGCTAGGCCACTAAAATATAGTACTTATTTATAATACAATGTTTTTTACGGCTAGCTTTTGGCTTCCTGGCCTATAAACAAACCAACATCAGCAGCAGCAGCAGCAGCGGCAGTGGCAGCTAGAGAAGCTGAAAATAGAAAAGATAATATTGACAAGTAGCAAAAACAATTCATTCATTGTTTAAATTTGTTATTATGTGTGGGTGTGTGCGTGTGTTTTGGCATTTGAATTACCTAGACAATTTGTTTAGCTTCATGTTAAATTATGCGCTGGCATTGCGTAGCTATAGCTGCTAAATTACATTTGATTGACTGAACGTTTTTTATTTTGTAATTTACAACGCTTGAATTCTCACAACTATATACTGGTCATTAGCCTCATATGTATATATTTATATAAATATTTATGTACAAATTAACTATAATTAGGTGCTTAACATAGTCGTAAGCTTTTACATTTGCTTAGCGAGTGCGGCCACCGCTGCGTTGAGCTTTCTGTTAACTTAACAGCAATTGAAGCCTGGGCTCTGTTGACTTAACAGCGCGCGAGCTACTAATGTTGTTTTTGCTGCCTGTGCTCTGTTTGCGGCCGCCATTTTATAAATTGATAAAGTTTACAGTTATCATTGTTTATGTATCTTTGGGCCATGTGTTTCAGCCTCTTGACCTGCTATCATTGTTATCCTGCCATACAGTTTTCCTTTGCCTTTTGTTTGTTTGGGATTTGGCAAAAAAAAAAAAAAAAAGAACTTTAGATACGAAAAAAAGCTATATAAAATTATGTCGAATTGATTTATTGACTTAGTTATTTAGGTTCTCATAGACTTTATTTGTTGCTTTTGTTGTTGGTGTACCTAGCCCGTTTTGGCCAGGCTACAACCTTTTTTCGTCTCGTTCTCCCCTTTTGTTTTTGTTCCCTTGTAAGTTGGCAGCTATAACAAGGGCCCAAGACCCAGTGCAAATATTTAGTTTTCATTTATGCGTTTTTCTTTTGAACGCTTTTCGCTTGTTTGGGCCCATTTAAGTCTAACTCGATTTGCGCTGCGAGTAAATAAATATTTAAAAAATAACAAAAATTCCACTAATTGAAAAGCATCTGAGCTCACAATATTTGTTAGCCGGATCCGAAGTTGCTTCGGGGATTTGCAAGAGGTATGTTGGTTGGTTTTTATATTTAATGAAGATTAGTTATAAGCGAATATATACATGTGAATATAACTATAAATATGTGCTACTCCACTCTAATTTGAGCAAACAGTTTATTCATATGCATATGTATATATTAGGATATGTATATCATAATTTATTTCTCATAATAGTTAAATTAAAATACTTTTTCAATATTCTAAATGTTTCGTCACTTGTTAACTGTGTCTATTATTATTTTAGCCATAATCAGGCAATTATTTTATGGCTCTGATGCGCAGTCATTAACTGACCAATTCAGATTGTGACTGAAAGCTGATGGCTCAATTTTGATTTTGATTTTGATTTTCGCTCATCATCTTTTTTTCTCTCTCTTTCTCGCATTCATTATGCGTTGCACGTTGCCACATTAATTGACTCATCCACGATTCACTGGGCAGCAGCAGCAGCAGCGCCGCCGGCAGCAGCCCCTTGGGGGGCTGCAATCGCTGGGATATCTTTCTGCTAGATTTGATTTATATGGGCTGCAAATTGGCGCTGCGCTATCGACGCACGTAAATGATTTTCATTTTCCAATCATAACAACATGCGTGCCCGCACTGCCAATCAGCTGGCGCCACACCTCAACACTCAACACTCAGCACTACCCACACTCGCCTACTTACCTGACTTTAATACATACACAACACCAAAAAAAAAAAAAAAAAAATAGAAAAAGAAGAGAGAAAAACATTGTGCCAATAGTCGTTTTGCCTTTTCTTTTGTTTTTGTTGCAATCAAGCAAATTGAATTAACATATTGAGCACGTGGGCGAAATTATGGGCCAAAGTGAGCAGGCAAATAGGCACACAGGATGCGGCAGGATGTCGATTGTATTCATAGTTGTTGTTGCTGCGGCATCTGGGTGCATCCTTCAAT